CTCAGCAACTTGAGACATTAATGAAGAAGTTATCTCAGCTACCTAAAGAACTGCAGAATGTTTCTCAAGCTCAACATCAGAGTTTTCAAAGTTGTGAATTATGCGGAGGAAATCATAATAATGGTCAATGTGTAATGCAAAGCATGTCTCATGAAGAAGTAAATTATATGGGAAATCAAGGTCTTCAGACGAATTATAATCAAGGTCAAAGTTTTAATCAAGGATGGAGACCTCATCCAAGTATGGGACAAGCTGTTCCGTTCAACAGACCACCTCCACAGAACTTTCAGCAACAACCTACTCTGACCGACAGAACTTCAAAACTGGAAGAAACTCTTCAGCAGTTTATGCAGGTATCAATCTCTAACCATAAAAGTACAGAAGCCTCACTTAGGAATTTGGAGATTCAGGTGGGTCAATTAGCTAAAAAGTTGGAAGAAAAACCAGAGAAGGACTTTGGGGCAAACACTGAAGTAAATCCAAAGAAAGAGTGTAAAGTTATTACTACAAGATCAGGAAGAACTCTGGAAGAAAGAGAGAATGAGAAAAAAATGATTGAAGAAAAAGATGAGATGAATAAAGAGGGAGATAAAGAAGAAGAGAAAGAGGATAGAGAAAGTGAAAAAGAGAAAGAGGGAGAGAAAAAGAAAGAACAGATGTATGAGAAACCTCTTCCATATCCAAAGGTTTTCTCTAGAAACGAGAAGGAAAAACAGTTTAGGAGTTTCATTGATATTTTGAAGAAGTTGGAAATCAAGATGCCCTTCTCAGAAGCACTGAAACAAATACCTGCTTACTCGAAATTCATGAAAGATTTGCTCACAAAGAAGAGAAAGTATATTGCGGAAGAAACTATAGAAGTACAAGGCCAGTGCAGTGCTATCATTCAGAAGTTGCTTCCACCAAAGTTTAAAGATCCAGGCAGTTTTACAATTCCATGCACCATTGGTAAACTGACTATTGGGAAGGCGTTAATTGATCTTGGAGCCAGCATCAATCTTATGCCTTTGTCTATGTTTAAAAAGATTGGAGAATTAGAGTTGAAGCCCACACGCATGACTCTACAATTGGTAGACAGATCGATCAAATATCCGCATGGAGTAGTGGAAGATGTGTTGGTAAAGGTAAATAAATTCTTATTTCCAGTGGATTTTGTTATCATGGAAATGGAAGAAGATACAGAAATTCCTTTGATTCTGGGAAGGCCATTCATGAAGACTGCTCGAGTGTTGATTGATGTTGATGATGGGAAGCTCAAAGTGAGAGTTGATAATGAAGAAGTAAATTTCAATGTTTTTGAAGCAATGTCTCACCCAAATGATGAAGATACATGCTTTCAAACTGATGAACTTGAGGAAATCTGCATGATGACACAGAAGACGATGCACATATCATCACCTCTTGAAAGAACTCTTGTTGATGCTTGTGAATTCCTACTTGCAGATGAAGAGAAATTAATTGGTGAATGTATACAGACTCTAGATACTTTAAAGGAAAGTCCATCTGATGAAGAAGAGATAAAAGAAAAGAAGCTGGACTTGAAGTTGCTACTTTCACATTTGAAGTATGCTTTTCTTGACAAAGATGACAATAAACCTATGATCATCAGCAATGCTTTATCCACTCTGGAGGGAGAAAAGTTAATTAAATTGTTGAAAGTGGACAAAGGAGCTGTAGGTTGGTCAAATTCTAATCTGAAAGGAATAAGTCCTTCTTCTTATTCCATGCGTATAATATTCATGAAGGATGATTTCAAACCATTGGCTCAACCACAGAGAGCTTCTTAGTGTCAAGCTAAAGACGTTAAACAAGTGCTTACTGGGAGGCAACCCAACTTTCTAACTCTATCTATTTATGTTTTCAGTTCTTTTGGTTGTGTGGATTGAATCTGAATCTGTTTAGTTGTGTGGATTGAATTATGTTGTTTGCATTGATTTGATTTTGTAATGTTTGTTGGAAGTTTGATTTTGAGTTTTGAATTCTGTCCATGACCTCATCTTTTTGGTTAACAACTACAATTTTCAAGGACGAAAATTTTTAAAGGAGGGGAGAATGTAAGACCCTTGTAAACTCAAAATTTTACCAAGTTGTAAAAATTTCAAGTTGTAGTGTAAAATAGAATGCTGTCAAAATTTGACATGGTTTACTATTTTATGTATAACTTTTTATACAATTAATATTTTGGGTTGATTCTTTTTCCATTGGAAAGTAGACTCAAAGAGCTTCGATTTGAGTACTCATACGCCTAATTCCAAAGTCGGGAAGGGGTCCAACCGAGCTGTCAAAGTTGCACCAGTTTTCTCTACTCGCTGGGCGAGCAATGCACACTCGCTGGGCGAGCAGTACATCTCGCTGGGCGAGCGAAAAAGTTTCCCGACAGCTCCAGACACCAGAAAAAGGTGTCTGGAGACTTTTTTAGTCGCTGGGCGAGCCAACCAACTCGCTGGGCGAGATGACCAAGCTCGCTGGGCGAGCGGAGCGTTTCGGCTGGGCGACCAGATCGAGTTTTGGCTATTTATAGGACGTTTGGGGGGGGGGGGCTGGAAAGGGTTCATGTGCGAACTAGAGAGCAGAGAAACGAAGATTTTGGTGCGTGGAGCTTTGGAGCAACGCTTTAAGCCGTGGATAAGGACTCTGAGTCTAGGAAACATCACAAAGAGTTCTTGAAGAAGAAGCTACGGAGAAAACCGTAAGGGGAGCTAACTTTATGTCTTTTGTTTTCATATGTTCTTGATTTTTGAACATGTGTATGAATCTGTGGTGGTTTTTAAACGAAGGAATGTCTCAACTTATTGAAATCCGAATATGTTTGAGTTTTAACTATGAATCTGTTGATATATGCGAAGTATGTGAACATTTTTGGTATCTGTGATGATTGATGATGAGTTTCGGATGTCTGGGAGGTCTGGATTGCGAAGGGAAACATTGGGATGAACCAGAAAGTGAATTTTCGTGGTTCTGGAATAGTCCACTCGCTTGAGCGAGTGAAGAACTCGCTGGAGCGAGTTGCGCGGGACAGATTACGTTTTTTGAAGTTTTAAGGGTTCTGGATGTCCGTTTTAGACGTTCTTTAGGTCGTTCTGGGGGTTTTTGACCCTTCCGGATCTGTTGGTGATGGTTTCAAAGCTGTTTGAGTTATATTTATGTGGAAAATAAAGTGCTATAAAGAAAATGTGTTATTTGTACACTGTTTTAAGATGTTTGATGTATCTGTTTGATATGGAAATGTTGTATGAACTGTTTGAGATTGCAAATTGATATGAGAATGATATTTGGATGGTTAAGTAGTGTTGAAATCATGGTTGTATATGATTTGATTATGAGTTTCATGTTAAATGAAGAATTGAGGTTATTAATGATATGGTAATGTGATAATCTCACTTATGCATTTGAATATATTGAACATATGCTAAGTTCATGGTTGGAGAATATGTGATGATGATATGATATGGGTGTCATGGTATGATTGGTTTGGTATTGTGAGGGTTATTGGATATGTGTATTTTGGCTGGATGATGTTAATGATCGAGTGGTGGATAGTAAGCGTTGTGGTTGCTGGCCCGGGGAAGCTCTAAAAGAGTGATGGGAAGCAGCACTACACATTGGGTGTAATGTGTAACTGGCCGGAGAAGCTCTAAAAAGAGTGATGGGAGTGACGTATGTGGATATTGGTGTATGCAGGTATTTGTTTATGATGTATATTGGTGTATGCAGGTATTTGTTTGTGATGTATATTGGTGTATGCATTATGATTTGGGTGTGATTGCATATTGGTGTATGCAGGTATTTTTTTATGATGTATATTGGTGTATACATGTTGTTTGTTTATATGCATATTGGTGTATACAGGTGGTTGGTGTGNCTGCCGGGGATTTGTTTTTGTTTTCGTTGATTGTTTGTTGTTTATCTGGTTTAGTTGATTTTAGCTATTTTTTGTTTAAGTGTTATTGTGTTTGTATTTGAATTTGTGTGCATAATTGTTGTCATCTATAGAAATTGTTTCTTTTTAGTTTGTGTTTTGTATGAGAAGTAGAGAACAGGCTGAAAATCTACTTTTTGATCCGGAAATTGAAAGAACTGCTCGAAGGAACAACAGTAGAAGAAGGAGACAAAGTAGAGAATCCAAAGAATCATCTGCTAGCTCTGAAGAAATTCTGGACTTGTCATCTAGTCAAGAAAAAGAAGAAATGGAAGATAATCGTACTGGAGAAGGTTCTGGGCAAGGAAGACGTACTCTTGCAGATTATAAAACTTTCTCAGAACCTCTGCACTTCAACAGTATTGCAAGACCAGTGGTGAATGCTACTAACATGGAGATGAAGCCAACTCTTATTCATCTGGTGCAGAACAATCAGTTCCATGGATTATCTCACGAGAATCCATACACTCACTTGGCTACTTTCATGGAGATCTGTAATACAGTGAGGATTCACCAGGTTCCAGATGAAGCAATCCGACTCAGCTTATTTCCATTCTCATTGGCAGGTAATGCAAAAATGTGGCTGAATTCCTTTCCAGAGAATAGTCTGACAGTCTGGGATGATGTAGTTGCAAAATTTCTGAATAAGTTCTTCCCTCAGTCCAAATTCAATAAGGGAAAGCAGGAGATCTCGTTTTTTCAACAGGATGCTGATGAAACTCTAGGTCAAGCATGGGATATATTCAAAGGCCTACTAAGAAAAACCCCTACTCATGGATTTGATGAGCCTACAATGTTAAATCTGTTTCTTGGAGGGCTGAAATCTCAAACAAAGTTAATGTTAGATGCATCAGCTGGAGGTAGTATCAGATGGAAGACACCTGAAGAAGCACATGATCTGATTGAAAATATGGCTGCAAATGATAATGAAGTTCAGAGAGCTCAATTTCAACAAAAAGGTGTTCTTCAGCTCCAATTTCAAGATGCTTTACTAGCTCAGAACAAGATTATGACTCAGCANCCTCAAAAGGTTTACCTGTGTCAGGGACAACCAAAACTGGTGCACTAGTCAACCTGTTCTTTAGCTCTTGGAAGCTAGTCTCACAACGATCTGTCCAAACAAAAGGTTGATCCTTCCTAGTCAGTTGTGTCAATGGCGCCACAATCTGGGAAAAACTCTCGATAAAACGGCGATAATAGCCCGCTAAACCCACAAAGCTCCTGACTTCTGTAACAGTCTTAGGTCTCTCCCACTGAAGCACTGCTTGCACCTTAGCGGGATCAACAGCAATTCCTCCAACTGAAATCACATGACCAAGAAAAGGAACCTCTTTCATCCAAAACTCACACTTGGACAGCTTGGCATACAATCTTCTTTCTCTAAGAACTTCAAGAACTGCCCTAAGGTGATCTTCATGTTCTTCACGAGTTTTAGAATAGACAAGTATGTCATCTATAAACACAACCACAAACTTGTCCAAGAAAGGTCTAAAAATTCGATTCATATAGTCCATGAATATGGCTGGAGCATTAGTCACACCATAAGGCATAACCACATACTCATAGTGACCATACCTGGACCTGAATGCCGTCTTCTGCACATAATCGGCTTTCACTAAAATTTGATGGTAACCCGACCTCAAATCAATCTTGGAGAATACCGTAGCTCCGTGCAATTGATCTATCAGATCGTCGATCCTCGGCAACGGATACTTGTTCTTGATCGTCAACTTATTCAGTCGTCGATAGTCAACGCACAACCTTGAGCTACCATCCTTCTCCTTTACTAGCAACACAGGCGCACCCCACGCCAAATCAGCTGGAGCCATCCGATAAGGAGCTATGGATATTGGTCCTGCTCCTGAGACTAGATCAATAGAGAACTCCACTTCTCGCGGAGGAGGTAAACCAGGAACTTCTTCAGGGAAAACATCCATGAAGTCATTCATAACCAGAAGGTCTACACTCTGGTCCCCAAGCGCTAAAGAGTTTAAATTAGAAGTCTCGTCCATATGAAACATAATTAGGAAGCAGCTAGCACCTTCGAAGATGTCTTGCCTCAATACACCGAGCGATAATGACAAGTCTTCATCTTCTTTGGGAAATATTAGCTTCTTACCACCGCAATCTAAAAGAATACGATTGGCTGCTAACCAATCCATTCCCAGAATTACCTCTAGCTCCTGCAGAGGTAAACAAATAAGGTTCACTCTGAACCTGCGCCCCTCTACCTCAATAGGACATCTGGAGCACACATTAGGTGTCCTGACTAACCCAGCTGTTGGTGTAGACACCACCAGATCACACGGAAGCTCTCTGACAACTAAACCAAGCCTCTCCACACAAGCCTTAAACACAAAAGAATGTGTCGCCCCCGAATCAAACAACGTCACACACGAAGCTCCAAATAACAAGTAACTGCTGATAATTAAATTACCTACACTGGTTGCCTCAGCCCCAGTCAACGCATAGACTCTCCCGACTGCCTGAGGTCTGTGCCCACCCCTCTGAATAGATCTGCTAGCCTGGCGTGGCTGTGGTCCTACCCTCCTAGTAGTAGGACAGTCTCTAGCATAGTGTCCCTCTTGCCTGCAGATATTACACCTCCTATACCCTTCTAACTGAGGGCAAGAAATCTGGAGGTGTGGTCCACCACACTTGAAGCATATAACGGAACTGGCAAAATTGGATTGCCCCGATGACTGAGAGGAAGAACCCCTGAACCCGGAGGAAGAGGGTCTAGAGAAAGGGGTCTTTCTAGAACTGGAGCCTCCCCGGGATATCACAGGTCCACCAACCCTAAGTGGTTGGTTCTGCTATCTCTACGGTCCCTCTGGTTCTCCCTTAGTCTTTTCCATATCACGGGCCATCTCTACCAAAGCGGAGAATTCTCTAATGCGCAATCCTTTCACCAGTAACTTTATATCCTTTCTCAAGCCATTCTCAAACTTGCGACACTACCATTCTTCATTTATTGACATGGTGTTGAAGCGAAGCAGGTGTTTAAAATGATCTGCATACTGCGATACCGATCTGTTACCCTAAGTCAACTCAAGAAACTCTACCTCCTTAGCAAACCTGACACTATCTGGGAAGTATTCAGTGTAGAATTTAGTTCTGAATGACTCCCAAGTGATAGGAGTCCCGTTCCCCTCCATGATCGTCTTCACATTGTTCCACCAATGTCCAGCTTCTCCTGTCAGCAAGTACTGGGTGTAGGCCAGCTTCTTCTCATCCGGACACCCTTTGGCTTCATAGATTCGTTCCATATCTTGGAACCAATGATCGGCCTCATCCGGACTGCACTTGCCAGTAAACCTGTCGGGATGATGTTGGAGAAAACTCTCCAAACTCCACTCCTTAACTGGAATGGCAATAGGAGTAGAAACACCAGGAGTAGGTCTTTCATTAGCCATCATTTCCCTGAGGTACTTCTGAGTGTCTTCAGCTGACACTCTTGCAGCTTCTAGGCTTTGAAGAGCGATGGTGTTTTGTTGTACCAAGGCAGTATTCTGAAGTTGCATAGCCTCAAGTACAGCCTCCAGTCTTATGGTGTTCTCAGAAGGCTCAGGCTGAGAAGGAGGAGGAGGTGGTGGTCTAGGTGCCATTTTCTGCTCATACAGAGAAACACCATTAGTCCAACCCAAGGAAACAAGAACAACCATCCAACACACGACTAAGAGTACACAACACAAGTAGGGCACACACATACCCTACAAGATCCTCTAAGGACAGAAACTGCTCTGATACCATAAATGTAACATCCCAATTATATACGTCATGCATATATAATAAAGACGTCATCATGCATAATATAGGAAAGCAGTCAAGAGTTAATTTAGGATTACAGTCATCCTTAGAATAGTGCAGAATTGATAACTAGAGTATTAGAATTTCTCCATGGAAATTACGGAGAATTTAAAACTTTAAATACACAAAAGTTCTTCGGACATAATACGAAGTCATGGAATAAGAACTAGTAATTCTAAGCTGCAGCACCACCGTCTCCATCAAGAGCTGTTCCCAAAGTATCCTCCCCGCCATCTGCTCCCATCCAAGTGGATGATCAGCGCCAAAGAAACATACACAAGCAATACAAACAAGCAAGGGTGAGCTAGATATAAAAAGCATGTTATACAACTTCACACGACATACAAAATTCATCCAAACATGGTAAACTGACATCACAAGACCTGTTACTTTATACCCCGACTTGTTGCTTTATAGACCGACTCGTCCGGACTAGAATGATTACCGAGCTATGGCGGGTCTTACACTCGTGGTGGCTTTATGAAACTTGGGCACTACCGCCCTGGCACTATCGCCTAGTGAAACTTGGGCACTACCGCCCGGTGGAACTTTGGGCACTACCGCCCGGCCACAGTCACGAGGTTAATCCGTTATCACTCACCTTGGATCATATGGAAGCACCCAAGACTATGACCTCCTGCTACTCCTCACCACATGGTTCAATCCTCTCTACATGAGAAGAAAGACCATTGGAGTTTTAGGATGACCCCCAAAACTGAGCTACCATGTAATCATTCTATACAACCCCAAAACACCACCATGTATCCTCTCCTTAAGGATCATGGAATTACGTCCATGAATCATATTGTTACTTTGAACCTTAATCACAATTATGAATAATTAGATACCACCATATTATCACAACAAATCCAACATATCTCATACATTCACATATTTTCACATAAATCACATCACAGACAATATTCCAAACATTGGTACACATAATTCAACCCAAGAGCAAAGGAACTTAGAATCCAACATATTTGTAAAATACTATTTGGACGAGCACTATTCAATGAACACTGCTAGACGAACGCTATTGAACGAACGCTATTTTCCACACCAGGTCGAACACTTATTTGGACGGACGTTATCAGATCCCACAATATCATGCCGATCGCTATTTCACCGAACGCCATATTAGATTGAACACCATTCGGCCGAACGCTAAAACCGAGCACCATATGGACCGAACACTTTCAGAACGAACGCTGTGAGATCAAACCATACTAGGCCGAACGCTCAAGAACGAACATCATTTTGGATTCAACACTACTGAGCCGAGCACTAAACCATTGGATACCATATTGAATTCATCACTGTTTGGACGAGCGCTCAGAAATCAAACATCATCAAGACCGAACGCTTACAATCTAAACCTCAGAATACCTAATCCAGATCGAACGCCATAAATCACATAATAATACCGAACGCTCAAGATTCAAATTTAAGACTATCAAATTAATACCGAACGTTATGGATTGCTACCAAAGAATACCAACTTAAGAACGAACGCTTATAATCATTAATACACTAAGGCCGAACGTATGAGATTCAAACCTAAGAATCCAAAATTAAGACCGAACGCTCATAAGCCGAGAATACCTCCTGTAAACCGAACGCTAAATATGACTTTCTGAGAATACCAGTTTAAGATTGAACGCTTAAGATTACTATTTCACCAATACCGAACGCTTAAGAGTGAAACTTAAGTATAAATTTAAGACCGAACCCTTAAGATCAAACACCATTATAACGAACAGTATTAAATCAAAGCTCGACCGAACGGTACTAAATCCAATTCTAACCGAACGATACTGAACATTCAAGACCGAACGCTAAAGATCATTTTCTTGGAATACCAATTTAAAAACGAACGTCTACGATTTCTATTTCACGAGGACCGAAAGCTGAAGATTGAAACCTATCAATTTAAGACCGAACGCTCAGGATCACCAACTGAGACTACCAAATTAAAACCGAACGTCATCATCACTAATACATCAAAAGTAACCGTTTAAGATCCAGACCTAAGAATATCAGGTTAATACCGAACGCCCATGATTGAAACCTAAGAATCCAAAGTAAGACCGAACGCTCAGGATTGAAACTTAACATACCGAATTTGGAACGAACGCTCACAATCTCTAATCTACTAAGACCGAACGCTACAGATTTCATCATGAGAATTCTAATTAAGGACGAACGCCTAACATTACTAATTCATTGGATACTGTTTGGACGAACGTCTAGTGTATTACTAACTTTACTTAAGGACGAACGCGAACGCCTATCTTAGAACACAAAACTGAACGCTCATGCTATTTTGGCCGACCACTAATTGGTCGAGCCATTTGAACGAACGCGCGTTCTGCAGAATTCTACAGAAACGCACCAGATTTTCCAGAAACCCAGAAACTCCCAATTTTCATCCATAAATTCCTAGATTTGCATTAATACAGTATGATTCAACAATCAAACAAAAGATCTAACTCCCCTTACCTCTTGAAGACTTCCTTAGCAACTATTGAATCTATCTCCCCCAAGACTTGCACTACCAGGGCCTCCTTGCAGCTCTAGAGGATCTCCACTTCACCTCTCCCAGATCTTGCAGCAAAGCTTTCCACTTCTCCAGAAATTCAGAACTCAGCAACCCTTGAATCCACGGGTCTTACCTTTAAGAGGAAAACTCTGCATTCTCAGCCACTCCTTTCCGTTCTTAGTGCCAAGCACACTAATTGATGGAGATGATGGTGTTTCTTGGTGGCTGGACACTTCAAAGTGGGAAGACCCACTACCCACGCTGCTGCTGCTGAACAAAGCCAAAACAGTGGTACTCCTACTTTTGCTGAACGTGCAGCCGCCCACTTGAGGCCCTCCCCCACCACTTCTTCTTTTCTAAAATAAAGAATTATTTAGGTTCTTACAGACACCATGCTTACTCATTTGACGAAAGAAGGCAAGAGCCTCCTGATAATGGCCTCTCTTGGCATGACCAGAAATCATGACATTCCAAGCCACAACATTGCAGGTGGAGATGGGCATCTGTGCAAACAATTGGCAAGCATTGTCCAGCTTTCCTAAAGAGGTGTAAGTTTTTAAGACGGTGATAAGTGCCACAGGGTCTAGAAGTGGAAAAGAAGCGGGAGAAACAGTGGTGCGTATTTTGTCAAATACGTGAAGTGCTTGCTGAGGCAAGCCGGTTTGAACATAACCAGAGATTAAAGAGGTCCAAGAAATAGGGTGGAGATGAGGGGAGGGTGCGGCGTCAAATAGGGTGCGAGCAGAAGTGAGAGAGTGGGAATTGGCGTAAAGATGGATGAGTGCGCCATGACAGAAGGAGGCAGATTGAAGACCCCTCTTAATTATGCAGTAGTGAACTGCCCTCCCCAACTCAACATTGTGTAGCTTTGCACAGGCGGACAGAGTGATGGCGAAAGTAAACTGATCAGGGGAATGGCCAGAGTTGAGAAAAGAAGCAAAACATCGAAGGACACTTTGGGGCAATCCATGGGTGGAGTGCATGCGAAGAAGGGAATTCCAGGCACTGGCATTCCCCTTCGCCTTCCCCTGACACTCACTCTCAACACTCCAACGCCCATGGTAGCCTCTCCCTCTCACCACACCTCTCACTGTAACACTCACGCGCATCAATCAATTCGATTTGATTCCCTTTTCTCCCCCTTCCAACTATCCGCACATTCTTTCTCTTTTGTTCTTCTGTTAGAAGTAAAATCCAATTTGTGTATGGAACCTTCTATTCACGTTTTTAATTAAGGCCAAATGACAGACGACATTTCATCCTTCCCTATGAAGCTCCGAGACGGCTGGGAGGCCGCGCTTCCCCGCTTCCGACACTTTGCTGACACGGACACGTTTCGGGGACGTGCACGACATGGTGTCGGACACCGTTTTTAGGGCTAGACACGGCCCTGTTCTCGGACGCGGCGAAGAAGATACGTCTTGGTTGTTGCAACCGGAAATCGAAAAAAGCGGAGTTGCATAGGAAAACTCTCTTTTTATGGAAACATTTTTCGGAAGCTTTTGATAGGGTGTAGGAAGCTTTAACCATTTTATTGTCTTATGTCCTTGCATTCNCCTCATCCGGACTGCACTTGCCAGTAAACCTGTCGGGATGATGTTGGAGAAAACTCTCCAAACTCCACTCCTTAACTGGAATGGCAATAGGAGTAGAAACACCAGGAGTAGGTCTTTCATTAGCCATCATTTCCCTGAGGTACTTCTGAGTGTCTTCAGCTGACACTCTTGCAGCTTCTAGGCTTTGAAGAGCGATGGTGTTTTGTTGTACCAAGGCAGTATTCTGAAGTTGCATAGCCTCAAGTACAGCCTCCAGTCTTATGGTGTTCTCAGAAGGCTCAGGCTGAGAAGGAGGAGGAGGTGGTGGTCTAGGTGCCATTTTCTGCTCATACAGAGAAACACCATTAGTCCAACCCAAGGAAACAAGAACAACCATCCAACACACGACTAAGAGTACACAACACAAGTAGGGCACACACATACCCTACAAGATCCTCTAAGGACAGAAACTGCTCTGATACCATAAATGTAACATCCCAATTATATACGTCATGCATATATAATAAAGACGTCATCATGCATAATATAGGAAAGCAGTCAAGAGTTAATTTAGGATTACAGTCATCCTTAGAATAGTGCAGAATTGATAACTAGAGTATTAGAATTTCTCCATGGAAATTACGGAGAATTTAAAACTTTAAATACACAAAAGTTCTTCGGACATAATACGAAGTCATGGAATAAGAACTAGTAATTCTAAGCTGCAGCACCACCGTCTCCATCAAGAGCTGTTCCCAAAGTATCCTCCCCGCCATCTGCTCCCATCCAAGTGGATGATCAACGCCAAAGAAACATACACAAGCAATACAAACAAGCAAGGGTGAGCTAGATATAAAAAGCATGTTATACAACTTCACACGACATACAAAATTCATCCAAACATGGTAAACTGACATCACAAGACCTGTTACTTTATACCCCGACTTGTTGCTTTATAGACCGACTCGTCCGGACTAGAATGATTACCGAGCTATGGCGGGTCTTACACTCGTGGTGGCTTTATGAAACTTGGGCACTACCGCCCTGGCACTATCGCCTAGTGAAACTTGGGCACTACCGCCCGGTGGAACTTTGGGCACTACCGCCCGGCCACAGTCACGAGGTTAATCCGTTATCACTCACCTTGGATCATATGGAAGCACCCAAGACTATGACCTCCTGCTACTCCTCACCACATGGTTCAATCCTCTCTACATGAGAAGAAAGACCATTGGAGTTTTAGGATGACCCCCAAAACTGAGCTACCATGTAATCATTCTATACAACCCCAAAACACCACCATGTATCCTCTCCTTAAGGATCATGGAATTACGTCCATGAATCATATTGTTACTTTGAACCTTAATCACAATTATGAATAATTAGATACCACCATATTATCACAACAAATCCAACATATCTCATACATTCACATATTTTCACATAAATCACATCACAGACAATATTCCAAACATTGGTACACATAATTCAACCCAAGAGCAAAGGAACTTAGAATCCAACATATTTGTAAAATACTATTTGGACGAGCACTATTCAATGAACACTGCTAGACGAACGCTATTGAACGAACGCTATTTTCCACACCAGGTCGAACACTTATTTGGACGGACGTTATCAGATCCCACAATATCATGCCGATCGCTATTTCACCGAACGCCATATTAGATTGAACACCATTCGGCCGAACGCTAAAACCGAGCACCATATGGACCGAACACTTTCAGAACGAACGCTGTGAGATCAAACCATACTAGGCCGAACGCTCAAGAACGAACATCATTTTGGATTCAACACTACTGAGCCGAGCACTAAACCATTGGATACCATATTGAATTCATCACTGTTTGGACGAGCGCTCAGAAATCAAACATCATCAAGACCGAACGCTTACAATCTAAACCTCAGAATACCTAATCCAGATCGAACGCCATAAATCACATAATAATACCGAACGCTCAAGATTCAAATTTAAGACTATCAAATTAATACCGAACGTTATGGATTGCTACCAAAGAATACCAACTTAAGAACGAACGCTTATAATCATTAATACACTAAGGCCGAACGTATGAGATTCAAACCTAAGAATCCAAAATTAAGACCGAACGCTCATAAGCCGAGAATACCTCCTGTAAACCGAACGCTAAATATGACTTTCTGAGAATACCAGTTTAAGATTGAACGCTTAAGATTACTATTTCACCAATACAGAACGCTTAAGAGTGAAACTTAAGTATAAATTTAAGACCGAACCCTTAAGATCAAACACCATTATAACGAACAGTATTAAATCAAAGCTCGACCGAACGGTACTAAATCCAATTCTAACCGAACGATACTGAACATTCAAGACCGAACGCTAAAGATCATTTTCTTGGAATACCAATTTAAAAACGAACGTCTACGATTTCTATTTCACGAGGACCGAAAGCTGAAGATTGAAACCTATCAATTTAAGACCGAACGCTCAGGATCACCAACTGAGACTACCAAATTAAAACCGAACGTCATCATCACTAATACATCAAAAGTAACCGTTTAAGATCCAGACCTAAGAATATCAGGTTAATACCGAACGCCCATGATTGAAACCTAAGAATCCAAAGTAAGACCGAACGCTCAGGATTGAAACTTAACATACCGAATTTGGAACGAACGCTCACAATCTCTAATCTACTAAGACCGAACGCTACAGATTTCATCATGAGAATTCTAATTAAGGACGAACGCCTAACATTACTAATTCATTGGATACTGTTTGGACGAACGTCTAGTGTATTACTAACTTTACTTAAGGACGAACGCGAACGCCTATCTTAGAACACAAAACTGAACGCTCATGCTATTTTGGCCGACCACTAATTGGTCGAGCCATTTGAACGAACGCGCGTTCTGCAGAATTCTACAGAAACGCACCAGATTTTCCAGAAACCCAGAAACTCCCAATTTTCATCCATAAATTCCTAGATTTGCATTAATACAGTATGATTCAACAATCAAACAAAAGATCTAACTCCCCTTACCTCTTGAAGACTTCCTTAGCAACTATTGAATCTATCTCCCCCAAGACTTGCACTACCAGGGCCTCCTTGCAGCTCTAGAGGATCTCCACTTCACCTCTCCCAGATCTTGCAGCAAAGCTTTCCACTTCTCCAGAAATTCAGAACTCAGCAACCCTTGAATCCACGGGTCTTACCTTTAAGAGGAAAACTCTGCATTCTCAGCCACTCCTTTCCGTTCTTAGTGCCAAGCACACTAATTGATGGAGATGATGGTGTTTCTTGGTGGCTGGACACTTCAAAGTGGGAAGACCCACTACCCACGCTGCTGCTGCTGAACAAAGCCAAAACAGTGGTACTACTACTTTTGCTGAACGTGCAGCCGCCCACTTGAGGCCCTCCCCCACCACTTCTTCTTTTCTAAAATAAAGAATTATTTAGGTTCTTACAGACACCATGCTTACTCATTTGACGAAAGAAGGCAAGAGCCTCCTGATAATGGCCTCTCTTGGCATGACCAGAAATCATGACATTCCAAGCCACAACATTGCAGGTGGAGATGGGCATATGTGCAAACAATTGGAAAGCATTGTCCAGCTTTCCTAAAGAGGTGTAAGTATTTAAGACGATGAAAAGTGCCACAGGGTCTAGAAGTGGAAAAGAAGCAGGAGAAACAGTGATGCGTATTTTGTCAAATACGTGAAGTGCTTGCTGAGGCAAGCCGGATTGAACATAACCAGAGATTAAAGAGGTCCAAGAAATAGGGTGGAGATGAGGGGAGGGTGCGGCGTCAAATAGGGTGCGAGCAGAAGTGAGAGAGTGGGAATTGGCGTAAAGATGGATGAGTGCGCCATGACAGAAGGAGGCAGATTGAAGACCCCTCTTAATTATGCAGTAGTGAACTGCCCTCCCCAACTCAACATTGTGTAGCTTTGCACAGGCGGACAGAGTGATGGCGAAAGTAAACTGATCAGGGGAATGGCCAGAGTTGAGAAAAGAAGCAAAACATTGAAGGACACTTTGGGGCAATCCATGGGTGGAGTGCATGCGAAGAAGGGAATTCCAGGCACTGGCATTCCCCTTCGCCTTCCCCTGACACTCACTCTCAACACTCCAACGCCCATGGTAGCCTCTCCCTCTCACCACACCTCTCACTGTAACACTCACGCGCATCAATCAATTCGATTTGATTCCCTTTCTCCCCCTTCCAACTATATACACATTCTTTCTCTTTTGTTCTTCTGTTAGAAGTAAAATCCAATTTGTGTATGGAACCTTCTATTCACGTTTTTAATTAAGGCCAAATGACAAACGACATTTCATCCTTCCCTATAAAGCTCCGAGACGGTTGGGAGGCCGCGCTTCCCCGCTTCCGACACTTTGCTGGCACGGACACGTTTCAGGGACGTGCACGACATGGTGTCGGACACCGTTTTTAGGGCTAGACACGGCCTTGTTCTCGAACGCGGCGAAGAAGATAAGTCTTGGTTGTTGCAACCGGAAATCAAAAAAAGCAGAGTTGCATAAGAAAACTCTCTTTTTATGGAAACATTTTTCGGAAGCTTTTGATAGGGTATAGGAAGCTTTAACCATTTTATTGTCTTATGTCCTTGCATTCCACCCTTTGTGAGCTACAATAATTCAGTCTCTTTTACATGATTTGCATAACAAGGGCTCTCGTCTTTCGGTCACATATTATAATAGTTAGAATGCAACTCATGTTACTGTTATTCCGATGGTTTACCAGAGGACCAAACATTTAGAGATATTTTCTCTCGGTCCAAGAGGAACTTCAACAAAGTCATATGAAATTGTTACGCTTTTCTACAAAAGTGTCTCCAAACCTCTCTGGAATCAATATTCTCGCCTCCGATTTATGTGGGATATCAAAATACCATTAGTTGTCCCACTTCAGGTGGAAGAAGCACAGCAAGTTTGTCATACTAATTTTGCCAATTCTGGATGGTTCAAGAACTATTTGTCATGCTTCCTATTTATTTTGTTTTTTTCCTTTCTGTTCTGTTGTTTTGTCCTATTTAGTTAGATTATTTCCTATCTATCCAGTTACAAGAAAAATTCAGTCTATGCATGCATCATTGTATCCCACTTTAAAATAAGGGAAAACAACATAGAACATTTCATCCTTAATAGTTTCATTCATCCCTAAATATCCAAAATGTCTGAAAAAGCAAAACAATAGTGTAAGACCTTGGAAAATTAAACCAGCCTCCACCTGTTAAATCACATTTAATGCACTGAAAACCCTTCTCTGATTTAATTAAAAACCCACTTCCTTAACTCTGCAACTTCCGCCAAGTGTCACCAGGAAGGAATTGAAGTCAGTAATGGAGGTGCAGGTGTCGACAAGAGAGACGCACGTTCGTGTGGACGTGAGGAGAACAAAATGGATTTTCTGAAAAACCCTTCCACTCTCCTGCACGCACCTTCTCACTTCCAAGAAAAACTCAGATTTCATTTTTCTCCAACTTCTCTCTAAAAAGCCTCCATCTTCTCTCTTCTGTAACTTACCATTCTCTACTCCGATCCCATTTCAAAGACCGTAGAAGAGATCCCGGCGTCCTAAGCTTTCCAGTAAACTGAACAAGTTCACGTTTGAAGCTGGTAAGTTTCCTCCCTTAGTCATTCGTTCTTAGGGTTCATGCAAAACCAAGATTTGGATTGCATGCAAGGGTATGAGCTAAATTCTTCTACGTTTCTTTTGGTTAGATTTAGTGAAGAACTTAAGAAAATCGTTGAGGGTAGAAAGCCATATTTGAACGACCAAGTCCTGCTACTAGACGTGCACCACTATCCAGGTAAGGGAAGCTTATTAATTTGATTCGTATGTTTATGGTATGGTTGCTGAAAATGAATGCATGTTGCCGATTGAGTGATTATATATATATCCAGTATGAGTATGTGGAATGATGGTTGATATGTATGACGTGTATGAATGTGAAAATGAGTTATTAATTTGAAGTAAGAATCATTAATGTAGATACTATAAGGTTTGGAAATTATATTGGATGTGAAGTATAAAGTATGATCTGGTATGATGAAAAACTTAAAGTTGGAAATAGTGAAAAATGTGAATGTAGACTTCTTACTATGATTATGTACGTTCGTTATCGAGTGGTCCTTTACCGTTCGATTTTCTAGTAAACTGGTTAAAAATGGAATTCTTTCATTTGAAAAGGACTCTGATCGAGGACGAGCGTCCTCATGTGGAAATCCTATATTGGAGCGTTCGGCTTAGAATAGTCGTACCTTAAACTTCGAAATAAAGTTATATATATATACCTTGTACTTTAAAGATTTGTAGCGCTCGGTCTTACACCTAGCGTTCATAATAAATAGCGTTCGATTTTACACCCAGCGTACGTCATAAGAAGTGTTCAGTCTTATACCGAACGCTCGGATTCGTCTTTAAATATTATAATTGTGGAAATAGCGTACGTTCAATTTCAGTAAAATTCTCTTACCGCGTTCGGTCATAGACTGGCAGTCGGTCTCTATAATGTAATTAAATTCGTTATGGTTCGGAAATCGTCTTGAGGTGGTGATACGACTATCGCGGTCATACAAATTTGATGTGCACGAAATTAATGCAGTATAGTTACTAGGAAGTGACTCCTAGGTCGTCTCTCAAGGACCAATTTGTGTCGGTTTAGTCTTAGATTTGACATGAAAGGGGGGGGGTTGTTTATGATTTTTGTTTTGCAGAGAAAAATTAAATTAAATTAAAATTGGAATTTAAACAAGACAGAATTTAAAAACACTGAAATAAATTTTAACGACTGTAAAACTAAACGGTAAAAACGGAATAGTAAATATGCTGAACGGTAAAAGACGGTAAAATGTAAAATTCATCAGGAAATGAAAATGCGGAACAGTAAAACATTTTAACGATGTATAAAATAATAAGCGGTAAAATAAAAGAGACGGTAAAAATAAAAACACTTGACTGAAAATCAAATTCATCAGGGATTCAACATTTAAATTAAGGCTTAATTACCTACTTAGTCCCCATGTTCGGAGGTAATTTGATGTTTAGTACCCAGTTTTAAAAATGTAGGCATTTGATACCTATGTTTTGAAATTTGTATCAATTGAATCCTACCCACTTAACGCCGTTATAAATCTATCGTTTTTCTGACATCAACTTTGAATTGTGGACGAGCGGTTGTGGACGATCGTCCAAACAGAGGAGGACGCTCGTCCAACAGTGGAGGACGCTCGTCCAAAAGTGGAGGACGCTCGTCCAAACAGAGGAGGACGCTCGTCCAACAGTGGAGGACGCTCGTCGAACAGTGGAGGACGCTCGTCCAAACAGAGGAGGACGCTCGTCCAACAGTGGAGGACGCTCGTCCAACAGTGGAGGACGCTCGTCCAAACAGAGGAGGACGCTCGTCCAACAGTGGAGGACGCTCGTCCAACAGTGGAGGACGCTCGTCCAAACAGAGGAGGACGCTCGTCCAACAGAGGAGGACGCTCGTCCAACAGTGGAGGACGCTCGTCCAAAAGTGGAGGACGCTCGTCCAAACAGAGGAGGACGCTCGTCCAACAGTGGAGGACGCTCGTCCAACAGTGGAGGACGCTCGTCCAAACAGAGGAGGACGCTCGTCCAACAGCGGAGGACGCTCGTCGAACAGTGGAGGACGCTCGTCCAAACAGAGGAGGACGCTCGTCCAACAGTGGAGGACGCTCGTCCAACAGTGGAGGACGCTCGTCCAAACAGAGGAGGACGCTCGTCCAACAGCGGAGGACGCTCGTCGAACAGTGGAGGACGCTCGTCCAAACAGAGGAGGACGCTCGTCCAACAGTGGAGGACGCTCGTCCAACAGTGGAGGACGGTCGTCCAAACAGAGGAGGACGCTCGTCCAACAGTGGAGGACGCTCGTCCAACAGTGGAGGACGCTCGTCCAACAGAAGAGGACGCTCGTCCAACGATGCTCGGACGCTCGTCCACTACCGCTCGTCCAGAATTCAAAGTTGATGTCAGAAAAACGTTAGATTTATAACGGCGTTAAGTGGGTAGGATTCAATTGATACAAATTTCAAAACATAGGTATCAAATGCCTACATTTTTAAAACCGGGTACTAAACAGCAAATTACCTCCGAACATGGGGACTAAGTAGGTAATTAAGCCTTAAATTAAAATTCAACACTTAAAATAAAATGAAAATGAAATGATCAAACTGTAAAATGAACTACACGCTTCTGAAATAAAATTCATGCACTGTTTGAAAAATAGAACTGGAAAAAGAAGAGGCAGAAGCCTCTTCCAAGGCCGTGACTTCTCCTAAACTACTCCTAATCTCACACTAAAATCTAATAAGTTTCTTCTTTGCTGCTGCTGGTAATTTATAGCTATTTCCCTGGACAAACTCTCGTGACTTCTCATTTTGCCCGTGACCTTCCAGCTTTCACGTTTGTCTCTAATCTGCAGCTCCTTAGATGTGCCAAAGTCAAGAAGGTGGGGTCCTTACTTGTCTTCTTCCTCATTGTGGCCTTGAGCTACTCCTCTTTTCCAGCCAACCATGCTTTGCAAAGAAACCGTGAGCATCCTTCTTCTTCCCAAGCTTCAACCGTATGGCATCAACACTTGGAGACTTCTTCCTTGCATTCCAATTCAGCCGTGGCCTCTCCATTCTCATACAAAATCCAACACCATGAGTGCCATTTCTTTTTCTTCTTTCTTCTCCCTTGAACGTAGCTGCTGCCAAGCTGGATGTGTGTTGCAGCTGGACATGGAGGTCTTCTCTACGGGTGGCTGCTCCAAGCTAGACGTCTTCTTCTCCTTGGTCCTCCAAAACAATCTTCAAGAAAACATCCAAAATAGCATGCAAGTGGTGGCTGGATGGTGCTTCTAATGCTAGACCAGAACCGTGGAGCTTGCTGAACTGTGAAGGCCGTGAGTGCTTCTGCCATCTTCCGTCCAAGCTACTGAGCTTTCTTTTCTCCAAGACCAAGCCGTGACCAAACTTGCTGCTGCATCTTCAAAACCGTGGCCTTCTCATCTTCTCCCAGCTGGACGTATAAGTGCTGCCATGCCTCTTGCAGTTTAACAATACCGTGAGCTTTCTCTTCCTCCAGCCGTGGGCTTCATCTTCTTCAAACTCAGCTGCTCTTCTTTTTCTTCTGGACGTGTGAAGGTAGCTGCTGGACTTGG